TTCAATATGCCACATCGGACTCTAAGACGTTGCTTTTTTATCGAGACTGTATTTTTCAGAGATAAAGTCAAACAGAGTAAACATGAATAGTTTAGGAAACCCCAGCAGAGCCTGGTTTTAACACTCACCCTGTTCTCTTTCTGCTGCTCTGTCAACGTGTGAAATGGAGTCTGTCTGTTACTCACTTACTTTCACTTTCGAGGTCCCTCCCTGTTTGCAGCTCCCTTCGATCAAGTTACACAGGAGAACATATTACAGGAAGACAGGAACAGACATGTAGCTACAAACAAGCACAACAAAGTACTTGAAGTAAAAGAACACATCAATACAGTGTGTTCAAATAACCCATAAATACATATCCTGCATGTACAACTATACTTAAGTACAAATATTGTTAGTATTATCAGTAAATGTTATTTTAAATGGTTAATAGTGCATTATTGTATTCATGTACATTCACAGATATAAAACAGATGATTTAGAATATATATGATTGTATTTTGAGATGGTAACAATTTGGAAAACATTTCCCAAATTGGGATCAATAAAGTATCTATCTATCTATCTATCTATCTCTCTATCTATCCATCCATTTATCTAAGATCTAAGTACTTCTACTTTTACTCAAGTACAACCAAATGGAGTGATTGATATATTAATTGTATTTCTGATTGAATACTGAAACTCTTAAAATGTAATTGCATTAAAGAAAAACAACTTCTGTTTGTTGTGAATGTTTATTTTCTGAAAACCATTTCTGACATTTCTCTTCACGCTTTTCTCCAAATGTGACTCTTTAGAGAATAACATCTTTAAAGCAGAACTGTGTGACGGTGAGATAATGCAAGACAGTGAATTAAATGATAGATTTATGATAATTAAAACACAGAAACAATGAAATACTGAGTTATTAAAAGCATATTTACAGAAAAAGATGACTTTCAAACAGATTCAATGCCTTTTACACTCTCACATTTCCCAGTAACAACTTCAACTCACATTTGCATCACAGCTGTTCACATTACAGAGCCATCTCATATTTAATAATGCCTTAAAGAACCACCAAAATGTGCATTCAAACCACTCCACAGACAATACAGTGATAATGCTTAAATATGGCACAAACTATGTAGGGCTGGGCAATATATAAGGACATTCACATATAAAGATTGGACCTAATATTCATATTGAGACGGTTTTGTAAGGAGGAGGCTTTCAGGGTCCATTAACACAATGAGAATTTGGATAGCTAGTGGATTTAATGGATTAAAGGGTAAAGAAAAATAATAGAATAGCTAGACACGTCTTTTTAATTAATTAATCATACATTTTACATCTAGTCTCATATCATAAATATCATACGTCAATAAATAATCAGTGATACTCGAGTGGTGCAGGGATGTCGTATTTCGGTGTTGGTCCCTGAAGGCATCATCTCCCTGGTCCAATGGGATTTCTCCGCTGAGCACCACTCTTTACAAGTGCAATGTCCTACATGCAACACATGATCTTAACTTTTAAAAACAGAGCAACTAAGCCGTTGGACGAGACGAACAGACATAATGAAAGTTTGACAAACACTGAATTCTGTCTAGTTCTTGGTGATATTCATACTGGGGACACTTTGGGAACATGTCTCCAACACTTTTGGAAATGGCCAATTTTGTACCCGACCTTTTGCATTTGGATAATCTGTTAAAAGTGTTCTGGAAATAGCGTGCACAAAGAAGTGTACACTTTGAAGAAACCGTTATCAACTGATATTCAAATATATTGACAAGAAAGTAGTCGAGCAGACGATCCAATCGAGGATAAATAAAGGACATCGGACTTCCACATCGTGGGTTCAAGGACCGCGACCACAGCCTGCTGAGAACACACCACTTTGGGCCCTTTCATCTGCGTAATGGTAAGAGGTGTGTGTGACCACCTAGTGAGCAGTGATCTATCTCTCTCTCTCTCTCTCTCTCTCTCTCTCTCTCTCTCTCTCTCTCTCTCTCTCCTCTCCGTCTGTCTCTCT